AGATCTTTTGATCAAGAACACTCTTCTCTCCTCCCTCATCCCCATTGCAGAGCATTGGTTCAGAACTGCTCTCTCGGGATGAGCATACCAGAAGATCTCCTCACAGTCTGGGTTCTACAACTTGAAATAACCTTCCTTGGCTGACTCTCAGGAGCTCAAGCCGGAAGAGAACATGCCTCGACCTTCGGAGAACGATGACTTGACCTGGTGTTGAACCAATTTGGCAAGTAGACACTACCATGAATTGGACAATAAGTCCTGTGCTGTGAAGCTGGTCTCCTTTCAGTTTATGATGAGCCACCCAAATTTGCAGGAACCTGGTTGCCAGTAGAGCCACTCCAGAATGAGACTGGACCCATCTGCAGGCAAGCAAGTCTATCGGCATGACCCCAGCCTTTGATGGCACTGCAAATCATGTAACTAGTACTGGTCAGTAATTGTAGGTCGCCAATGACAGCACGTGCAAGCTCAACGAGTGGAGGCCAACTGTGATTTTTTAAAGCTCGGATTTATTTCTTTTAACTCAGTGGCAGAGTCTAGCATCTGCTAAGAAGGGATCAGACCATTTGTTGTTTGAGAGTCTGCATCTAGCCCTGGATCAGATGTCTGAGTGGCAACTGCTATGTGGAGGTCACAAACAATCCAGACCAGCTTCTCCCAATCTTCCACGCATCCATTTGTATGACTTCTCTTGCCACCCTGTGTTCATTGTTGGTGCTGTCCTCCAATGGCTTCCGTAGGGTCTGGTCTACGCTCTCTGAGCCAGTTTACAATGTTATCTGCCACTATCTCAGCTGGTTTCTGATGTCATCTTTTCTGGAGGAAATGCCAAATATTTCCTCCTGGTTCACTGCAGCAGGAGTAGTGTTCCTCCTTCCACCATGGCAGGAACAACTTGTCAGAATCTCCAACTTTCAGAACACTCTAATGTCATCCTTCTCCCATCATAGAACAAACAATTGATCTCCATTTCTTTTATCCCTTATCAACCTCTAGGTTACTGACAAGTTTCCTGAGCTCTCCTTACTTTGGTTAAGGATCTATCACCAGGTGAACATCATCAGGTGTTATCAACCACTGGCCAATCCAGGCAGCTGTTGCTATCTCTGCAGTTTCCTCTGAGACCAGGTGTGGTGTCGTGATGCTGGCCAGAGCTATGCTCGATATCTTCTCTATTTTGAATCTTATGCCTGGAAGGTTTGGGATGAATATTTTCTGGGTTAGGACAAGTCACCATTCTCCTGGTCAGCACTTGATCAGCCATGTGGGGAAGTCATTAAACTCTGAATCAGCTTGACTCCAATCATCGCCTTTTACCTCACCCTGGCCTTCTCAAGTCCTACTTTCAGCAACTCTTTCTCTCTCTTCTGTCTCTCTGTGGCAGCTTCCTGTCTCTTGGACTGGAATATCTTTTGGCTAGAAATCATGAGGAGCCTTAAACTGCTAGTCTTCTCTCTGTGCTTTGATAAATGCCAGTCTTTATCACAGGGAATTTCAGTTCATTTTCAGTGTAATACAGGAGATGTGGGTCTTGATTTACAAATACGATCGTGATCCAAACTCAGACAGAGAACAATTGGCACTTGCAAGTAATTATGTCAAATAACTGGTCCAGTTGTTTGGCAAAGCTGTCCTTAACTGCAAGTTTTCCTCTCCCAAGAGAGATATCTCTTGCCTTTTCCCAACTGGCTAGCAGTCTCTCACTAATCTTCTTCTAACTTGTTATGACTGGAGGCTTGAACTGAGCGTTAGCCAGAGTGTACTGTGCCAAGACAGCTTTGGTCATATCATTGGCAATGTCTTTGTTTGTGTAAGTTCTTTGGTTCTTTTCACTGATTTGCCTGATTAAAACACCGTATCTCAAAGCATCTCTCAATGTAGGCAACTCCGACTTCAGGAGCTCTCTCCCAGACCCAAGATAGTATCGAGATATGATTTTGGTTCCTCGCCCTGGACACAAGCAGCCATCGCAAATATTATCAACTTATAAATGCATCAGAATCTGAAACAGAAAAAAATATTGTTAGTTGGGTTGTTAAAGAATGAAGTCAGAAAGCAATGTTCACTATTTAATTGTAATGCACTAATGCAGCTGTACGTTAGATTTTCGATAAATTTCACGCTAAAATTTACCTAGCAAAAGGTTGCAAAATATTGAAACTGAAATTATTTTCTGTTTATATACACTAAAATCTACCAAAAAAGTGATAGGCCATTAGTTTTAGCTGATCTTCCCTCCTATGACACACCCTAACACCGCAGGTTAGACACCCTAGAGCAGCTCTGCTTCTCTAAGCAGACACCAGCTCCTCTTCCTGCCCCAAGCACCACGTCCTACCGACCCCAGCACACCCGTCCTGCCTCAGACGCCGCCCCCGGCCCAGCAGTACCCCCTGCCGCTCCTCCTGATGCAGCCCCTGCTCCCGACGCGGCCAATGCGCCTGAGTGCGGACCCACACACCCCTCTTTTCTCCCTCAGGTACTCCCTGCTACTGTCCTGCACCCTGCTGCTGTAATGGACCCAGCTGCTGTCACGAGCCCTCATCCGCTTCTGCTGACGCAGCCCCTGCTCCTGACCCAGGCCTACACACCCCAGCAGGCGCATCTGACGATTCTGTACCTGTCGCGAGTGAAGCACAACATTCATCGCCTCCACAACCCTCTTTCTCCCTCTCTTCTCCCACAGATCTTGTGTGTCTAGACAGTTGCCTCCACTAGCGGCCGGCTCATCCACACCCTTGCCGTTCTGCCTCACATGTGGCATGTACCGCCCTTTCTGCCTCACATGTGGCATGTACCGCCTTTTCTGCCTCACATGTGCCATGCAACCCTGCAGACAACAAGTCTCCTACACCGCCTGGAGGGAAGGGGGGAGTATTGTAGTGGATTTCTCCCCTACAAACGCTGTTTGTCGCTGAGTAGCCGACCCCACGAATTCCCCAGTGTACAGTATGCCTCGTGGTCTAGGTCAACCAGCGCCGCCTTACATGACGGAGGTCAACTACTAAGCCACGCCTACCTCCGCTATTTAAGACCTGACCTAGTGGTGACCACTCTCTTTCTACCTACACCAACCAGCAAGCAACACCTCCTCCTCCTCCTGCCTGGCGGCCCTCGCTCCCGCCGGCAACCATGGCGACCCACAAGCTGGTCCTCCTCTGAGCACCCTCACCAACCAGCTCTCTCTACATCACGCTTGTAACCACGCTGCCACTTCCCAGCACCAAGCTGCATTGTACATCCAATACAACATGTATACAGAGAGCACATCGTGAGTTTCCTTTCTCCATCCCATCCTGAGTGTGAACCAATAACCCATACCCCACAAGGTGACAATGTCTGGCATTTGTTTGTTTATTTATTTGAGGCAAGATTTGACAGTTGGTGCTGAAGGCCTGCCTGCGTGTTTATTTATCATTATTTAAGAGTGACTAAGCTCTTCTCATAATTTTCCACCCAAACGACCTGGGTGAATATAACTTACATTGGAGGGATTCTTGTAAGATAGTAATTTATTTGAATGTTTTTTTTTTTCAATTTAAATTTTAATTGTTTATTCCTTGATAGAGGAAGCAGGATCCTAGTGCTGTCACTTGGTACCCCTGTACCATAACACCAGAAGCAACTGGCCAGTGTCACAAGTATATACAGTACAGTACAGTCATCCCTTGGTTATCATGCCTAATTGGGACCCCTCCGATAACGAAAGTACAGAACCTATGGGATTTATTCTAAATGGTTCAGGCACCCAAGACCCAACCCCAAGTTTCCCATTTTACGACCATTTAGACCCTTTTAACATATATATAATGTTATGGTAAATATCATAAACACACACAGGCATGGCTAGGTTTATTACAAAGAGATGAAAAGGGTACGCTTAATACTGTAGTCCACAAAACATGTAGCTATGCTTTTTTTTATTTGGTCCCCCGTCATACGAGTCCGTTTTCTCTCACATCAGGACGCCTGAGTCCTCCGTTTTCTCTCAATCTTAGAGTGCATCAAAAACTTTACTATTTTTAGTAATGACAGAATTTGAAATTGCAACCCCAATTGCAACTTGCAATTGTTGAGGCAACTAGATATGTCTGATTACAGCAAATGTGTTATTGTCAATTTGTAGGTGAAAGATTTTATCCTCATTAGATGTAGGTTAACATTTAAGCTGTAGGCAAATGCTTAAAAAAAGCCTAAGTAAGGAAGCATATTCCTTTAACACATAATATCTGACCAGTATGGGGAGGATCATCGTGTCTCCATCAGGGGGTCATGGAGTGGTGGTCCAGCAGACGTCACATTTTATTTAATTTTTTTTTTGGGGGGGGGGGCACGGCCGTATATGCGATCGGACGTTGTTCGGTCGGACGTTAACCGGCGCATGACTGTATATTTAAATTACAAACAGTATAACATTTTGATAAAAACATCATATCTACTGGCATTTGTTCTAATCTAACATTAGTATCTACGTATTTAATATAAAAGAAGTTAAATATTTGTTTTTATTTGTTTTGCAGGAATGAGGGAATCATTAACTTTGTTATTACAGTGCCCAGGCCCATATTTTGGAGCAGCACTGCAACAGGTTTGTTCACATTCATGTCTCACTCATATGGTGTCAGTGTCACCTTACAAAAAAACTGAAAAACAATAAATTTAGCTTGGTGTCTTATATCTCAAACAATTTTATTTTAAAAATCTATTTTTATTGTTAAATTACTGCGTTACTTATTTACAATAGCTAATTCCTAATTCCATTTACTTCTTCAATCTTGGTCATTTGATAACTTGTCCACACACCACTGAATGGCTTTGGCTCAAGTGGGATGAATATATTGTTAACAATTAATAAATTACAAACTGAAAAAAGGTTTAGCATATGCATAATATATCACATACAATAATAGGCTATTAGCAGCTACAAGGGTTATAAATATCCATCATAAAATATTTTTTTACATTTCTATAGATGCAGAAAGTCATACAGGAGAATATATGGCAAGTCTGATAAAAAAATGGTTGAAGAAATTGGTGCAATGAAGGTGCTTGCCATTTGCACAGATAATGCTTCAAACATGAAGAAAGCCTGGGCACTTATAAAGGAAGACTTGCCCATACACTCAACTTAATATTCACAGATACGGCCAATATTAAGTCAATTGATAGCAATCGGCGAGACTGTACATGTGTTGTGAAGGCTATTACAAATTCCCAAAAGCTGACTGCTATTCTAAAAAAATGCCAGAAGTCATTACCTGGCCACAGTCAAGAATCACTGAAACTTCCAGTTAAAACAAGGTAAGGTTTTTACATGCTTATTCATGGGTGGTCCGGAAGCTGGTGTAGATGAATCACTATATTGATAAATCCAACAATAATGTACAAATAAAATTTAATGAGAAATTTATATTTTCTGATTTATTGTCACTTTATCATAAATTCATAAATGTCCCTAACTAGGCTATACAGTATAGGTATACACATAACTTTACAAGTGCCAAGACTCCAGCACCATTCATAAAGTTTCAATGTTTTCAGATGGGGATCAATAATCCACTGCATGGAAAGTATGAGCAACAACAGAAATGACCTTAAAGGCCTGGCTATTGATGACGAAGCAAAGAAGGCTGGGCTAGACCAAGCAGTTAGAAATCTATTGCTCTCAGAGATTTTCTGGGATAGAGTGGATGGGGTTTTAAAATTGCTGAAACCAATAGCAGATGCCATTAATGCCGTTGAGGGGGACAATAAACACCTGTCTATTGGACCCAAAATATTCAGTGACTTAGAACAAGCATTTAAGGATAACATTTCCTCGAGTCCTGTTCTGAAGAGTGAGGAAGAATGTCTGATGAGTATCATCCCAAAAAGAAGGAAATTTTTACTGCAGCCCATCCACCTAGCTGCAAACTTACTTGATCCTCGTTACAGAGGATCTCACATCTCTGGAGAAGAATCGGTAAGCTTTTATTCTCATAATTATTATCAAATACTGATATTCATCAAACTATAAATAAAGACCTACTTATTTTCACAAAAAGTCAAAAGTACTATATATGAACATAAAAAAAGTGCTTGAATGTCAATAATATATCTACCATTTTGTTGTCAAAAGTACTGTATGCAAGGGCTTCACATTAATTCAAAACATTATTGTTTATTTAATTGAATTTTGTACCAGTCCCATACTTCAATATAGCCCAACAATTTTTATAAATTGTATGCAGTGCCGCAGTGGACTGTTGACTATAGGTGCAATGGTATTTACCTTGAACATTCAAAAACGTAAAATTATCTTACATTACAATTTTTTTTTTTTTTTCAGATAGATGCAATGGAAGTCATCCACAACATTGCAACAACCAACCCACATGTGTATGAAACTAAAGTTTTAGGGGAACTGGCAGACTACAGGTCTAAAGAAAATTTATTTGCCAAGTCATTTACCTGGAAGTCTGTGAAACAAACTTCACCTACCAGCTGGTGGAATGGCATCTGCTGCTCCACTCAATTATCAAGAATAGCCAGCGATATATTAAATCTTCCACCAACTAGTGCAGCCGTCGAGAGGTCGTTTAGTCGCCAATCATGGATTCACAATGAAAAACGAAACAGGCTAACAAATGACAAAGCTGAGAAATTAGTCTTTATTTCTCATTACTTGGCTTTAGATGCTGAAGAAATAGTAAAGAGGATAAACGTAGGAAGTTTTACGGGTGATTGTGATGAAGGAGAAGAAGAAGAAGATATTGGGATATCTGATTCTGAATCAGAAAATTCAGAAGTATCCATAAACATGGATGCATGTGATTCAGATGATATGCCTGATCTCTCTTAGTCTTAATATAATAATAATCCGTGGCTTTTTCCCTTTCTGATATTTTTAAAATACCGTAATGTATTAGGCTTAATTAAATAAATAAATAGTTGAAAAAAAACCCTAATTTTATTTTATTACACCTTAAACCAATATTAAAGCTTAAATTACAATTCCCATAAGATATTGTAGACAATACAAGATATAAAGTTTAGATTTTAAGAAAAAAAAGCATATTAAAAAAAAAATGACAAAAAAAAAAAAAAACCATGGATAAAAAAAACGTTTTTTTTGCAGCTCCAGTTCGGTGTCACAGATATTAGCTGGCGGGTTGGTGTCCACAGGACCACCGCTGCATGATGGATTCGGCGATACCTAGAAACTGATGCTACAGACGACAGGTCTCGGAGCGGCCGTCCACGCTGCACCACCCCTCAGGACGACCAGGTCGAGTGGTTTATTTGGTAGCATAAATTAATGTGGCAATATTCACAAGTATCACAAATAATTTTGTGAACAGGGAGCTCCTCATATTTTATACTGTCTATTTATCACTTCCCGACCTTATTTATAAAGGTTTGTTTCACTTGACCAGGCCATAGTAGCTGCTCAGCAGGATTACAGGGCTGCCAACATACGGCTGGAACAACTCGCCTTTCCCAATACCTATCATCACTGGTCTCAAATTGTTCACACTACAGTATGCACCGATACTTTTTGTTGCGAGTGTACATACCTCATTAATGTGCGAAGGTTTACTGTACTACTGGTATAAAGAAAACTTATAATTGTTGTTTAAAAGGGCATTACTGGGGATTTAATAAAGATTGCATAAGTCCACTTTGATCCAATGTCAATAACACTATTATCAAATCATTTGGTACTTAACCTCTTGAGATTGGTTAAGACACTACATTACTGATATGTAAAGAGGAGACTTGGTGGCATAGCCCCCTGACCATTTCCTTCCACATTTCAGGTTTGGGGTCAGAGCACTTTATGAATGTCAACATCGTGTAATATATTATACTAAATGATTCCCTTTAAAAAATTTAATCTTTTTTAACAATGATCAACAAAGTTTTACAATAAAAAACAATCTTATTTTTCTTTTTAATGCCTTTTTACATACTGAGTAAATAATTAGGTAAAAAAATGCTATGAAAAAATTTATAACAAGTTTACATTTACACTGTAAATGGTATTTAAGCTGTCATAAATAGTCTTATTTAAAATTCAGTGGAAATTCACACAAGAACATTAAGATATTTTACACATTATAAAAACCCTTTTTACACATAACCACAAGACAAAAACACTTAAATACCTGTACGTATATGGAAACAATATCAGAAAAACAAATGTTTTGGTCAGATGGGCATGCCTACCTTCCAATTTGTGAATACTGTATACCAAATGTCGTGATCTGTTATAAGCACATGACAATGAAATAAGTTACAAGCACACCAAACGTAAACAATGATGAAGGCACAACACACATTCAGTGCCAACTTATGCAGTAATTACAGCAGTGAGTATTTAATGCCAAATTCACTTCAATCCAACCTATCCCACAAACATACCACACATAACTTTATACAGTACACAAAAAATATACCACATACCAACCTGTGCCACATGTATTCTACACATGATAAGTTCTACAAAATTTCTATCAAACATATATCAGAAAACCTATGCCACAGGCAAACCACCAATACAAAAAGAATACACCAGACTAATTCATACCAAATTCATATCACATGATAGCCTATGCCACAACCATACCACTCACTATCTTTTCAAATATTCAAGCAAAAATTACCATTCTCAAAATAACATAGTAATTTTATTAAAATAAACCTGTTCTAGGCCTGTTAACTGCTGATTCCGTCTGGATTAATGAGGCTGGAACATGTATATTATATCGGGTTTTAGTAGCGAAACCCAATTGTCTGTTATCCATTTATTCAGTAACTATCTAGGATACAGTTCCAAGTGTATATCACCATAACTTATCACTGTAGCTATGAGTGTTAAGAGGAGGACGGAGACTATGTTAATAGTCCTGCGAAATACGTCCGGTTGGTGTGAGGGGTTGAGGAACAATGCCTATGAGTAGTGACCCATCGAGGGAGAACGGAAATATGTACGTCATCCTCCCTCGAGGGAAGACGGAACCATTCACGATGGCTCTCAATATCGTCTTCCTCTAGTCAAGGATATCAAACTACTGCCCGCATTAGGTGACCAGAGAGCCGGCTACTTAGTGCCTTAGCTCAGCACAATATGAAGCGGCTTCCCGTGTGCACACCTTATCACGTGCTCTGAACATGCTATCTCATAGCTAGTGGAAAGTTACAGAGGGTGATACAGTATATAAATCAAATGTAATTAACCCATTTATATAATACTTCTGCCTATAAGACAGGGGCTATTACAAACCACTCTATATTCTACTATGTCATGTGCCCATTTAACTGGAAGGGTATGTAAATGCTGTCTGGCCATTCATCAGTAAGATTAAATTTCAACTTGTTGAGCCTCCACCACTGCCACCCTGTTGTTCAACTGGAGAACAAAAATATTATTAAAAAATAAATTAGAGTAACCCTGTACTGTACATTACTTCAAGTTCTTTTTTATTATTATTTTTCAGTCATAAGAACATGATATTCACTTTTTCAATTTATTTCATTGCAAGGTTTGATGAACGGTATCCCACTAAGAAAAGATAAGAATGGCTGGATCATGAACATCTTTCAAAGGTTTACAGTTCCAGCATATATATATATATATATTCACCTCTGCACCAAAAACTTATATTCAAGTACAGTAATTAACAATCAACTAGGTCACTGATCATCCAAGTAAGTCAAACTCTAATTAACCTATTCATTAAGTGAACCAAACATAATTCTCACTTATGTTCTTGTCATTCAATTTCAATACTGTATGTATCTAATCACTCACCTAAGCAATCACAAAATTAACAGATCATTCAGTTAAGCAATTATGAATTGGACCAGCCAATTAATACAATATAAAATTTACTAAATTTTCGATGAACTAGCATCTTTCTTTAGATACATACGAATATATTACTACAAATATACTGTAACACCAACTGTCACTACAAAAAATATAGATATACCGTACAATGAAAATGCAGTAAGCCCATGTAATTTTGGACAAACTTTTTGGAATTTGGCCATTTTGGACACCAAGGCTATAGGGCAAATATTCATAAATTTAGAGTTTGAAATCTTGAATGTGTGGTACAAACTATGGTGGCCCATATGATAACTTCTCATGTGACCAATGTGTGATGCAGTGTGCTATCTACCTCACCCTCTGAATGGCTCAAGTGATAACCTGATCAATTTGAAGCAGGTGCACTGCTCTTCAGATCATCTTGCATCCATGTCCCCACATATCTCAGTTCACTATGTCTGCTAGTTTGATGGTCAAAGCAGGGTCCTTACATAGTCTCTGCTAACCACATTTTGTACTATTCACTTTTTTTGTGTGGTTTTGTGTCACTTTTAATACCCTAGCAATTATTTTTTTAGATGTAGTACTGGGTACGTTCCTAAATAGGAAACTCCTTAAAAAAGGTGAATGTAAAGAAGGTACCCGAGTGTGAAGTAAACCCCAGACTCGGATATCAGTAATAACCACAGCATACTTATATGTTAGCCATTGGGTACAAAATAAAGTCTCAATGCATTGATTTTAATTTGTGTGTATCATTATCTTGTCTTTAAATAGTGTAGAAACAGGAAATTGGCTGGTTATTTAAGCATGTGACTTGCATAAGTCAAACAAAACATGAGGCAACTCTCGCCAATTTCAAAATCATTAATTTTCCAGACTGGCCTTTCCTTAAGTTAGTCCAAAAATATGAGAATGTACTGTACAATTAGCACTTATGTGAGTTAGTAAACAACCGAGATCAAAATACAATTGAGACTATAACATGCCGTAAAGGTTAAATACAGAGTGGTGTACATACAAGTTACTTTACGGAGAAATATTGTAATGTGTAAAATTTCTTGGTAAAGTGACTAAAGCACCACCATATATAAATAAAAATGGGAATGTCTTTATAGGCATGCAATAGGGACAAATATCCTTTCCAGTCCAGTATGGATTGGGTAATTACCTAAGCCAATGAGAGTCGAGGCATGAGTAGGGCGTTTATCTGCATCTGTTTGTTCGTCTGTTTGTTAACACAACAAAAGAGGAACAGCTTGAAATATACAAATAAAAACTACACATGGTAAAGGGGTAGTCTTCTATAAGTTGCATAGATATTTTTTTTTTAATTTGGGATCAATTGTAAGAGAACAAAGCAACAGGGATCATTAAATGCAAAAACATTTTTGGGGTGGACAGAAAGTGTCTGCCTCTCTACAGAAATCCCTGTAGTAATTGTCTTGTGTTGTGAGGATAAATAAATACAGCTGCAATAAACTCACCTTTGTAAGCATATTCTAAAGCCGTAGCAATAGTCTGCATGTCTGACTCAATTGTTGTTGCCCAGTTCTGAACATGGCCCACCTCCTTCAATGAGTCAGTGAAAGATGAAATAAGACCTAACCACTGAGATGTCTGTCTCTGGAAATTGGTGGCATTTTGTTCGAGCTGGCTTGCTTCACTGTCCAGCCGTTTCTGATTGAGGTATGCTTGGGCAACCCTGTAAATTCATGCCAAAAAATAGTCATTCTTATTAATTACTGTGTAAATTAAAATACAGTGGTCCCTCGGTTAACGAGCACAATCCATTCCAGCAGGTTGCTCGTTAACCGAAACCATTGTTTCAATGGGTTTTTGGGTAAATAATTGGTTCCAGCTCACTGAAAATTGCTTAAATTCAACAAAAAAGGAAGAAAAGTACACTTACTTTGAGGTGTGTATGTAGAAGGCTCCTGGATGATGATGATGATGGGAATTAGAATGGGGGTGGAGGAGAAGGGAGAAGAGAAGGCATTGGGGTGAAAGAGAAGTCACCCCATGGTGCTATTTCACCCATAAAATTTTAATTCTCTTGGTGTAATTCAAGATTATTTTCTCTAAATCAACACTGCACTGCATTATATATTGTCAATATGTAAAATAAATTTCAAAATGACCAATAATTTGCTTGAAAGCACAGAAAAAAAGCATTTAGTTGAAGAGAGTCTCAAGCAATATGTTACCTCCACTGAAAAGAGAGAGACTAACGCCTATTTGGTGTGTTAACATGCTGGATGGTGCGCCAGAAACTAGTTTCTTTACCTACAATTATGTTCAATAATTGTTAAAATGACTAAAAAAATTTAACATTAAACTTTAAAAATTATTGAATAGTATAAACTTCTTGATATTTACTAAATTAGTAAGGAATTTAAGCCCTAAAACCGATTACTGTATTGGCGGACTTATACTACAGCTGGTGGACCGCCAAATGCAAGCAAAAACATGTTGAGGTCAGCTTGTAAAAAACTCGTTAATCGAGGGATTGCTCGTTAACCGAAGTTAAGAATCTTATGGAAGGTAAATCGTTAACCGAAATCTCATTAACCGAGGCGCTCGTTAACCGAGGGATCACTGTAAATGCTATTATATATCAAATGTTATCGATCCTGATACAGTACTGTGTACCTATAACATTATAATCTAAGTGTCATTTCTGAGGCATCAGTTAAGTAATGATAAACTGACAATATTTTACATACGCAGGTAAATTTACAATTAACAAAATGAAAATAAAAATATTTATTTGCTACAGTAGAGTGAGAAAAACACACTAGTCAAGCTATAAATCTGAATAAACTTTATGTAAAAACTATGAGAGCAACTCGCCCACATTACTTATTTGCAAAGCAGTACTTAATGAGAGTTGATGTACAGTATTAGTATTCTAATAACATTTTCACTTTTCTTAAATTTAGTAATACCCAAATGCACCCCAGTAATTCAAAACTGGTGAAGCATGGCTGCTAAATGTGGTATCCACCTCCTGAACCAATGATTGCTGGTTTAAGCTACTCAACCGAGCACTGAGTGATGTGACCCCCAATCAACCTAATTGCAGAAAGAGTTCTGTTAGCTGGGCGACATAATCATTGCCTGTGGGGGTGCTGAAGCTTACTAAGTTGTAGAAGTCCGAAGTGACTGTACAGTGAACCCTCACTTTACACAGTCAATTGAACCCACAGAGGCCCGCGTAAAGCGAGAAATGCGTAAAATGAACAACATAACATATGGGATTAATTGAAATAGAGACCGGGCCGAACCCCAAACTCCACTTTTTCCTGACACAGTACCTATGCTCTAGTAAAAATAACATCTTAATTTTATGATGGTACACACACACACAATTAATATTTAAGAGAAATAGAGAAATACAGTCGTCAAGTTAATGTTCATTCAAATAATGGACTCAACTCCCCCCCCCTTCTCACACTCACTGGCTCCTCCCTCTCTGAAAAATAATGTTTGGGGAAAACACTACATTTTAAGGTATAGTACAGGTTGTACCTCTCTAGTCCGGCAACCTCGGGACCTGACCGGTGCCGGACCATGGAAATTCACCCTTTTCCTGGATAGATAGTGACTTGTGCTTATGCCTGGAAGCACTAGCACCACTTTCTCTGCGTCATGGTCTCTTTGAAGACATATTGAAGGGTTAAATGTCGTATAGTAGCTTCTCAAATTTCGCGAGTTTTTAATTCTTAACGTATTTTATTGGAACACAAAAAAATAAATAAATATAAATTTTGACGGCGGAAACTTGAATTTCGACGGGTTTGAACGGCCCGCCAACGTGCAGACGACGTGCATAATCGTGTAAACAGCGTCATTTCTCTTATGTACAAAAGATTCATTATTGTTTATTACTGAATGTCTTTTTTATTGAATTAATGTTTATGTGTGCAAAATGAGCAATACAATTCATTAATAATACGTAGCATATTAAAACACACGAGGAAATGACACAGCATTGTCTTTTTTAATAACAAAACCAGTGACTGACTGGTTCTACATATAAAACTGAAGAAAATAAGACCTTGAATGTAGCTGTAGTAAAATTAATATGGTTGTTTTAAGTAATGTTATTTAATGTTAATAAATGGAACAATAAAAGTAGCTAACGATAATGGTAAAGAAAAAGAGAGATCGCATATGTAAGTGCGCATGCGCACACGTGAAAACATATCATCATTACTTTACATAAGAATATGAAAGCAACACTTATTTACTGTTCATATACATTTTAATTAATGTTTCTGAATTTGTTTTTATTGAATTAATGTACGTGTGTGCAAAATTAACAATACAATTTATTAGAGGAGACGGCTGCCGGCATTGTTTATGTTAAAGCTTACGAAACCAGTGACTGATTGGTTCTACATATAAAACTGAAGAAAATAAGACCCTGAGTTTAGCTGTAGTAAAATTAATGTAAAAAATGAATATGGTTGCTTGAAGTACCTGTAATGTTATTTAATGTTAATAAATGGAACAATACAAGTAGCTAACCATTAATGGTAAAAAAAAAAGTGAGACTGCTCGTATGTAAGTGCGCACATGTGAAAATATATCGTCATTACTCTACATAAGAATATGAAAGCAACACTTATTTACTGCTCATATATATTGAAGGGTTAAATGTTGTACTCTGTATAGACAAGCAGAGAGAGAGAGAGAGAGAGAGAGAGCAGCCGAACTGCCGGATGTAAACAAACCTTAATTTCCCGCGTCTTTGTTGTTGTTTTTTTACGGGTATTAGCCTACCCGGGCATAGGTCACTGACCCACATTGGGGCCTGAGGGGCAAAAATTTAATACTTCTGCAATAATAAAAATAATTCAGATAAGTAAAAAAAAAACAAAAAAAAAACCAAAATGCCCATCTACCTATTGGACAAACTAAAATCGTTCCGGACCACGGGAGTTTCCGGACCACAGAATGCCGGACTAGAGAGGTACAACCTGTAATAAATAATACCTCAAACTAAAGTTAGGATAATATAACTGACATTGCTGGATTCCTTGCAAGACCAGGAATATTTTGAATATACATGTCATATATTTTGCACAAAAGATAACATATTTGCTCTGAGTAAACAAAATACTTACATTAGATCTAAAATTTGTATGTCTAATGCAAAATCTATGATGTTTATATTCAAAATGATCATCAAATTGTAAGAATTCCAGCAATGTAAATTATATTCTGGCCGGGTAATGTGTATGAATTTTATGAGCTAAAACAAATATCTTCAATAAATCAAAAAAATATGCTTACCCAAACATTATCTGTCAATCAAAATACCCCACCTCCGGCTCCCCCACTCTTCCCACCTGCTCCCTGGGTCCCTCCCTCCCTCCCTACCCCTCACCCCCACCTTCCCTCCCTACCAGAGAAATGTTTGGGTTTAAACAATATATTTACATTTTTAGTAATTAATAATACCTCAGACTAAAGTTAGGAAAATATAATTGACATTGCTGGATTCCTTGCAAGACCAGGAATATTTTGAATATACACGTCATATATTTTGCACAAAAGATAACATATTTGCTCTGAGTAAACAAAATACTTGCATTAGATCTAAAATTTGTATGTCTAATGCAAAATCTATGATGTTTATATTCAAAATGATCATCAAATTGTAAGAATTCCAACAATGTAAATTATATTCTGGTCGGGTAATTTGTATGAATTTTATGAGCTAAATAAAAAAATTATACTTCACCCGCGTATATGAGTAGATGCACCGAGTAAAGTGGAAATTCCGGTTCTGGCAGGGTACTTCGTAAATGTAGAAACACGTAAAAAAAAAACGTGTAAAGCGGGGTATTACTGTACTAAGTTTAGGGAGCTGCTGCCTTTATTAACAGCAAGAGAACCTTCCCTCCAAGTGAAAGGAAGAATGTACTGCATGCGGCTGGTGTAAGAAGTGTAATGTTGTATGGCAGTGAAACATGGGCAGTTAAAGAGGATGACATAAGTAGACTTGAGCGAGCTGAAATGTGAGGTGGATGTGTAATGTGACGCTGAAAGATAGGAGGCCCTGTACAGAGCTAAGAGGGAGGCTGATATTGATGTCAAATGCACTGAGCTCCAGGTGATCATCCACCAGGCAAGCTGAGGATTCACTCAGTTACACCAGGCATTGCCATCAACTGGTTTAATGAAAATGCCCCTGGGATTCAAAATATTGCACTTCGAAATCTTGCCTTTCTAACAATAGAGCAGAGACTCTGAGAACTCTACACAATGAAAAATGATTAGTAGATCAAAAAGCCTGGTGAAATACAGAGTTTTGCAGAAGCGAATAATGAGCATGATTTCTATGATGCTATTAGGTAAATCTATAGCCCTCAGAGGAAGAACATCACTCCCATTAGGTCAGTGGACGGCAAAACGCTCCTCAAAAACCATCAGCAAATCTCGGACTGGTGGACGGAGCATTTCAGGGCATATAGTGCTATACGACCTGCCAAACAGGACACCATTCTAACCAATTGATGCTCCACTTGAGTTTGGGCAGTCTCCCACACCATATTAACAAGCTCAAAAACAATAAAAGCGTAGAACTGGATGGGGTCCCGGCAGAACGTTATAACAAGGGTTTTTTAACCTCCCAACATCTATTCCAATTTATTAAAGCCATCTGGAGAGTTGAAGCAATCCCACAGGAATGGA